ATTTTTTATAGCCTTAATGAAAGTTACTATTACCATAATCATTCTCTTTTTATCTAGCCAAGTGTGTTGTATATAACAAGTTAACTAAATCCGTACATGCGAGTAAAAAATCTCATTTTTCATTCACCCAAGTCTTTGTGGGGGTGGGAAGGTTTGGTTTTGGTTGTGACCTAAAACTGAACCACTAGTCAATTTTAATTTTTAATAATTATTAACCAAACTAAAATTATTAGTTTTATTAGTTTTGGTTAGTTCTTTAAAAATAATCATTTGTTTTTTATTTCAGTTTACACTGAAAAGTTAAAGTTTAGTGGGGAGGAGCTAAAGCGCTACTTGACCTAATAGGGGTGTTTGATTTAGGGGGAGTAATTTTGCTAAACTTTTATCATTACAAAGTTATTGATGCATTTTTTCACCTCAATACTATAATAAATAAAGTGACATTTTAGTTTTTATTTTAATTAATACAATTCCCAGGTTTGCAAATTTTTCTTTTTCTCCTAATTTTTCTTACATAAGATTTATTTGACAACTTTTTTTTTTTTTTATTTGAAATCCATGCACAGGTTTTATTTAAAATTAAGAAAATAGGAAGCAATTACATAGTAGAAAATGAGACATATCTCCTTTACAATATGCGCAATGTTGTTTGGTATGTCTTCCACCCAAAATTCATCTGCCACAATAAGTACCCTTCGTGTGAGCTCATGAGCAGCAGCATTTTCTAACCTGACAAACATGTTATACTCAACAAGACACAAAAGAGGCCATTAGTGCTTTGTAATTCAGAAGGATGATACCCAAATTGGAGTTCATGTTAAGAGTTTCGTTGTTGATTGGTGATACAATGGTTGCACAATCAGTCTCCACCACAATTCTTCTAAAAGCAAGTGATTGAGCCCACACTAGAACCCTCCATAAACTACAAGCTTTAGCAACTTTAGCCACCACTACCTCTTGACCCTTACACACCATAGCCACTACCACCTCTTCCCTTAGATGGTTTCGTGCAAGTGCACCTATACCAAAGATATGCTTCTATTTATATATTACTCCGGCCATACTTAGCTTTATAAATCCTCTATCTAAGGGATGCCATTTGGTTTCATTGTCTCTTTGCACTATTGCTACACCTTTACCCCTTAATGATAATGTTTGCCTATACTCCTTCATAAAGTGCAGATTTCGTTCAATAACCTATTGAGGATTAGTGCCTTTGTTGTTCCGCAAAGTGTCATTCTAACTATTCCATAAATTCCAAGACATTAGGTAGAAGAGTTCTAGCTATTCCTTCTCCAAAATGCTTATTGTGTTATCGACAAAAATTGCAAAATTGTTCACCTGAAGTTTAGAGACACATAGGTCGAAAGGACTACCTAACCATACCACCTAAGCAAGGGAACATGACATAATATAATGACAAACAGATCCCCTCTCCACACTACACATTGGGCACTCTAGGTCTACATCTATATGCTTTTTGTGGAGATCATCCTTTATGGGAATGACATTCTTGTAAGTGCTCCAAATAAGTAATCATACATTTTTTGAGATATCAAAGGACCATTATCAATTATCTCCAAATATTGTTGAGGATATAGATGGGTTAGCATGATTTCTATACATATTCATAGCTTTGTGGTACCCAGATCGTACTGAGTAGCCTCCATGTTAGGTGAAATTCCACATCCAACTATCATCTTTCCTCATCCAACCATTGACATAGCTAATATCAATTTGGCTTCACGGGCATTGAAAGTCATAAGAATTAAATCCCTCTTCCACGAGATTGTTTCTTCATCAATTAGCTTATATACAAACTAGAGATCACATCCCTCCAAACAAGGTGACTAAACCTAAAATTGTGTATAACTAGGGAACCATGGATCACCCGAAATCTTTATCCTTTGATTGTCATCTATTAGGTATCTACACCCCTATTTCAATAATCTAATTGAGTTTCAAATGCTCTATCCAGTGACACTACAAGGGGATTTTAGTTTTTTTGAATGAGGAAAATATTTTGTCTTCATGAGCCTTATTGCCAAAGAATCTAAATAGACTAACATTTTGCAACCTTGCTTCCCTAAAAAGCCCAAACCTTCAAACATTTTCAAGATTGTAAGTTTTTTCCATTCTATTCAATGGATCTTATGCTCGTCTTTGTCTCATCCCCACTAGTATTGGTTCATAATATGCTCCAAATCTATGCATAAGGTCCCCAAAAGGAGGAAAAGACCCATCACATATGTTGGTAGGGATTGCAACAATATTTATAAGAACTTCTTTACCAACTTTGGATAGTGGTTGTTCTCTCCATTCATTGATGCATGCTTAAAAATCACTTTTCAAACTACAAAAAGTGGTTGTTCTTGATCTACTTATATATGCAGGGACATCGACATATCTTCCAAGTTGGTCTACTTCCTTTATGCCCATAATTTAAGACATATGACTTCAACCCTTAGTTGTATGTGATTATTAAAGTAACAAAGGATTTTTGCAAATTGATCACTTGGCCAAATGCTTTTTCAAAACCCCACATAATGCCCATTAAATTTGTTGCTTTAGTCTTAGTTGCATGGAGGAAGATAAAGCTGTCATCTGCAAAAAAATAAATGAGAAATTGTTGGTGCTTGTCTACGAATTTGAACACTATGTAAACTCTTACTGCTTTCCACCTTGTTGATCATAATCATTAGTCCTTCTACACATAGGATAAATAAGTAAAATGATAGCAAATCACCCTATCTCAAGCCCTAAGTAAGGATAATCTACCTTACCTCTCTACCATTTAATAGTACCTCATATTTCACTGATGAGACATAGTCCATGACTAATTTAATCTAGCCATCAACAAAACCAAGTACCCACATAATTTGCTCTAAGTAAAGCCATTCAACATGATTAAAAGCCTTGCTCATATCCAACTATATAGCCTACCCACCTCACTTCCTTTTCCTTTTAGTTCGTATCTAATGGAGTATTTCATATGCAACCATAAAGTTATCAATGATCAATCAATTTGGCAAAAAAGCACTCTATTCTTGGGGAATAACTTTCTATAGCACCAACTTAAACCTATTCACCAAGACTTTAAATAGAACCTTGTAAATAACGTTACATAGGCTAATTAGTTGCAAGTTTGCCATTGTTTTTGGTTCATTTGCATTTCAAAATATGCACAAAATGGGTGAAATTTAACCCATGTAGAAGCTCCCCTTGATGGTTCAAAAATCTAAACATGGCATAATAATATCATCTTTCACCACGCTCCAAAAATGTTGGAAAAAACTTCAATGAGAATCCATTAGGCCCTTGGGCCTTTGAAGAATGCATTTGATATAACACCTTTGTGATATTTCCATGAAGGGTTGGAGTAGGAAGTTATTGTTTGCTACTATTGCTTGGGGCCTTAAATAGGTGGTTGCTTATTTGATACTACTGAGAAAGGTTGAGGAAAACAAAGAGGAGAAATAGCTCGTGGTGATAGCTTGTAGCTTTTCAAATTCATACTTCCATTCACTTTCTACATTTATCAACTTCCCACTCTATTTTTATCCCATCTTCTAGAAGCTCTCTTGTGGAAAAAAAAATGTGTATTTTGATCACCCTCCTACAACTAAATCTCACGTGAGCACTACCTCCACATCAGCTCTTCTCTTTTTAACCATTCTTCCGTTTCAACAATCACTCGCTATTCTTCATCTTGATCTATTATTAAGAAAGATTTTTTTTTCAAGGAATCAAAACTTTTCATACACTACTTCTGCCACCTTTATTCATGGCCAAAATGTGAGTAATTCCAACTTTAGAGATTTGTAGAACAAAGGTGAACGTTTTGCAATAAGCAAGTTTAGTCTCCCCTACTAAAAATAGAATCCCAACTAGAATGAACTATTTTCAACACCTAGGGTCTTAGAGCCACATTTCTTTAAATAGGAACCTTTTTTTGCATCTATTGTATCATTTGTAGTGGCTATCAAGTGTAATCCATAAAGAAGAGTGATTAGAGAATAGATGATGTTGTATTTTAACCTTGGCTCAAGGAAATAAGGTTTTCCACCTAAGCGTGGCTAACCCTTTATTCAACTTTTCTTTAACACCTCTTTGACACCAAGTGAAGTAACCCTTAACCATTTGTACTTTAACTAATCACATATATCCACCACTTCCCTAAAACCATGTAATATCCACTTAGGCTGAGGGTTACCACCCAACTCTCATCTAATTGTAAGAGACCATTAAAATCCATACTAGTCAACCATGGTAAAATAGATTGAACGACTAAATCTCATAATAGTTGCCATGATCGCTTCCAATTATATCTCTAAGGGTGACCATAATAGCCTGTAAAGGGCCAATTGCAAGAACCCATGCCTTTAACCTTGATATTTATATGATTTTGTGAATAGGAAAGTAATGCTAATTTTATAGTGAGCTTTCAAAGCATAGCCAAACCCCCACTACACTTCACCATGTCTACAAGAAAACAATATTTGCAACTAAGTCTCTGTCTAACTCTCTTTATACCCTTTTATCAAGTAGAGTCTCACATAAAAACACTACTATAGGTTTCTTTAACCCCACCAATTTGATGAGGTAATGAATTGCATGTGGATTCTCAAGCCTTTAGCTGTTCCAGCAAAAAAGACTCGTGATGATCGACAGGCCTACATAGTAGCACCCGTCAATAGTATAACAGCTTCATCATCATCACCTACACCTCTCTCATTAATCACCTCCAGTCTACACACTTGTAATGATTTGGGATAGCTCATCCTTCCACTTAATTCTCCCTAAAGATAATGAGATATACGAGTTTTGGTGACATTGTTCCCAAGCTTCCTTCTTCCAAACTTTAATTTTTGAGGGGTTATCACTTTGGGCTGAAGAGAACATGAATATTGAACTTGCCCCTTCAACCTAGATTAATAATATGGACTCATGCTTATTTTGGCTTTACTTGCCCTCCATAATATTTTGAGCATTTAGCCCAATTAGTTGAGAACTTTGTATTAAAAGCAGTTCTTGCCTTTGACTTAGCCCCTCTGAAACATTTATATTAAAGGTAGAAACTTCTCTATTGATGCTTATAGAATCCACTATATCCCTATATCCCCCTAACTCTAAGGCTTTTCCATATGAGTAGATTTGAGCCTCGAGCTAGAGAAGCATTCATCAAGATCACTACATCTACCCATGATAAACTTCCCCATATTAGTATCCTTGATTTGCTCATTCAAATCTTCCTTATTTCCCTACCAATCACAACCATCACTGTCAATCACCTTGTCGCGAAATTTGCAAGATTCCAAAGTAGGGCAACTTTCCATTTTGGAGGTTTGACATCTCCATCATGGTTCCTCTCCGACTGTGTTGTCGGAAACATCATGTAATCATCTCCCATTATTCACTACAACCCTCTGTTTACTTCGCTTTGATGCTGCTCTAAGTTCATCATCAAATGGACGCTCTGTCACACCTATACTCTCCCTCTCTAAACCAATTTATAGTGCCATTCAACGTAATCCACTATGCCACAACAATAATAAAAATGTGGACGCTGCTTATACCAGAAAGAAACCCAAATTGATCCTTCTTTCAAAGTAAGTTTCATGCCTCATTGTAGAGGCCTCCTTGAGTCAATGAAGACTCATACATGGATGAACTCCATACCCCACACCTGTCCATCAGCTGCATTGACCTCAAAGAATCTCCTAAGTTCTAGACCAATTATTTTACCTATTACTTCAATCAAATGGCCAAGTGGCAAGCCATGAATTTGGATCCAAAAAGGGATCTCAAATAATTCCTTTTTTGCCATCATTAGCTTTCCCTCTTGTGGCTTTTTTAGGACCATGACATGGTCAACAAAATGCCAAGGACCCACTGCCATTGATTCATGTCCCACTACCATTGATTCATGTCCATTGGATGAAAAAAGTAAAAAGCAAAGAGGTTATTTCCCAAGATTCTCATGTGCATACCCTTTACTGGTCTTCATACGCCAGCCAATGTTGACTCCATTGCTTCCATGCTGTAATGCTTCCAAATCAATATTATACCAACAAAGCACTACTTTGAAGCACTGCTTTGAAGCACCTCCCTCAAGATCAATATAGACTCCACCATCCAAGTCAAGGCTAACATCTTTCTCTGTTTTCAAAGATAGTTGCTTTCCCAATGCTGCTGTCAAATCCCTCACATATGATTCAACCATCACAAAAAGCTCCCAATTCAGCATGTACTTACTACAATCCTAACTCTAAGGAGAAAGAAAAACACTCCCAAACCTTAGGAGAATAGTTGTCTTTGTGTTATAAACACTCCCAATACTAATATTTGTTGAATAATTTTTATTTATTTTGAGATTAATTTTTTAAATAATTTTAAAAACACATAGTTTACTTTTTGTACATTTAAAAAAATTAATTTTTTTGTACATTAATTTCAAAATTTGAACTCTACACCTAATTTACTCATAGATCTAATTCTTCAAGTCATCTTAGAGGTATAGACAGATTAGGGATGAGTGTATGACACTTGGAAACATGATCTCTACTTGCAGTTGGACAACCATTTATTTATTTTTTAATCTTAGATTACACAATAAAAGATAAATATATCTCATTCTTTAATCTCTCTTAACTGTATATATCATGTGATTCAAAATTAAAATCATTTACTTTCACAAGAAGAAACCATTGAACTACTTAATTCATTGGCCAAACTATTTATTTTCATATATATTAAATACATATCAATAAAAATTTGGCTAGACTAATATATATTAAATTGAAATATTGATTTGAATTTAAGATTAAGAGTTTAAACCTCTTATACTAGTGTTAACACTCCTTTATAAAACCAATGAAATATTTGTATGAATGGAAAAAGTTTAATTCATTTTAAATAAAAATTTGAATTTAAGTTTTATAAATGAAAAAACAGACATTGAAATAGCACCTGGCCCTTGAGATCTAGTGGCAATAGCCACCCCGGTGCATTCCCCTCTCCCCGAGCTGGGTTCGAAACCCGCCCCTTGCAAATATGTTAAAAAAAAACAGACATTGAAATAACTTTCATTTTGTGGAGTCTAATATGATTCAATTCTAAATTAATCAAAATTTAGTTTAACTTTTAAATATTAAAAGAATTAATAAAAAAGCAAATCTTGATATGAAAAAAAAGAAAAAAAGAAAAACCAAATAAAGGCACGCGTATTCTTTCTTCATTCCAAACTGTATTTCCAATAAAATGACAACTAATCGTAATTAGATTTTTTATATATATATATAATGATTGCCTTTTTTCTGATGGGATTTTATGCGGATTACGGACTGCCTTATATTTAGCTAATTTGGATTTTTGTAGGTTAAATGTGAATTTTTAGTTGTTTAATTTTTAATTTTAAATATTTTTAATTTTTCAATTATTTTTAATTTTTTAAATTATTCAAATTTTTTTTGTTATTTCATTAGTTAATTCTTTAAATTTATTTATATATTTTTAATCTATAATTTTATA